GCGTTTGGAGCGGCAGCGCTGGGGTGTCTCTGCTGGGGAAGCCCTCCCGCTCTTCAGCCGCCAAGGCCGCAGGGCACACACTGCAGGGCCAGCCTGGCCCAGACTCCTGCCCGCTGGACCCTCCTCCTSCTCCTCCCAGCAGAGCTGCTCCATCTGCCCTTCCGCAAGGTCTCGTCCCGGCTGTGCAGSCCTCGCCAGGCGGCAGCTGTTGCCAGGGAGGTGTTGAAGAGGTGACGGCCAAAACACATTCATATAAACGCTCCGCGGGGCGCGCACTGCTCCGCCGTCCCTGCCCAGCTCTGCCCGTGGCCTCGGGCTGGGGAGGGCTGCACGGGGAGGCTCCCKGCGTCCCCGCGGGGGGCAGTTGGCCCGGGACGTGAGTAGGGGTGATGAGCACGGCGCCTTGTGCCGTCGGCAGCCGTGATTTTTCCTGCTCTCCCAGGCTCTGGGCACGTTGCTCTGCATGGTGGTGGTTCTGGTGGCAGGGAGCAGGAAGGGAGCTTGGGGTGACTGCTGGGCATGTGGACAACAGCTCTGCAGAGGGCTCGGGGCTCTGGGAACTGAAGAACGAGGGTCGCCCTGTGGGAGCTCGGGGCCCACTGTGTGTCCCGCTCCTGCCAGCAACGCGGCCGTCCCTGTCCCGCGCAGCAAATGCATGTGTTTATTTTGCCAATGGGCATTTGGGGAAGGACTCGGGTCAATCTCCAGGGAGAGGGGAGGGATTCGAGCAGCTGCAGAGGCCGAGAGCAGAGAGGAGCTGGGGCAGCGGCAGCCAGGACGCGGCTGGGCTCCCCAGCAGTGCCATGCGGAGTCAAGGAGACCAACGGCAGGAGCAAGGTTTCCGCTTCCCTCTCCCACTCTCCACSCCCAAAAAGCCGCTTTCAAACGCTGCCTGGAATTCCAAAAATCCGCCCCAGCACCCTGCAAGGAGAGGATCGTTGTAGCGGGAGCCTCTAGATGGCAACATCGACCCGAGCAGCTGCAAGTTGGAGCAAAGTCCCTGCCGAAGCCGAGCAGCCCGTCCCGGATCCGGAGCGGAGCGGTCCCAGCAGCTCCGCACCCAAATGCAGGGAGTCCCTCGATGGCCCCTGGGCACCTTTCTGAGGTCTGCAGGCCTCGGGCCGGGGCTGAGCTCCTGCCAACGAGTCAGCTCTTCAAGAGGCCTCCAAAGGCCTGTGCACGCGCGCTGCGCCCTGCCACGCACGGGACTTGTTGCTGAGGATCGYGAAGGAGCTGTTAGGTACCCAGATTTCAGTGGAAAAGCACCTGATCTGGGACAGGCATGGAGCGTTCCTGACTCCTCGGCCTCCTGTCGTGTCCACGCTCCGGTACAGACCAGTAAATACCCAGCAAATCCAGGAGGATGCTGCCCAAAAGCCTTCGAAGGGTGCAGGGAACCGCGTGTTCATCACCCCAGCTCAACCACGCGGATAACTTGGGAATGGAGGCGGGATGTGCCTTTCCCMTAGGGAAACCATGTGCCCACGGGAGATTTTTTGGGTGGAAAAGTCCCTCCCTTGTGTGAGATGGGGGCACGGGACACTTGGTGTAAAGTACAGCCTGTTCTTCTCATTTGCTGGGTGGCTTTAGCTTGTGCTCAGGGAGCTGCAAAGCTTAATTAAGATCCTTAAAAGGACAAAAGGTGCCACATAAATTCAGGAGATTATTATAAATGTCACTGCTTTACAAGCTCTGGCAGAAAGCACATGGGGAATAACAAGACCTCTCGCTTCACAGCACTGCCTAGCAGGGCTCTCATAGCCTCGTGCTTCAAAACAGCAGCCATAAAATGTTGACATTTATAATTAGATGTGCATAATAATCTCTTTATTCCCAGCCTGAAAGGGCTGGGTGTGTCGGCAAACGTCAGTTCCTCCTCCATGCCGAGGATCCCCCGTATCGGGTTTGCTCAATAAACCCTCGTTCGGTGACACGTCCCGGGGCCCAGATCCAAGAGGTGCCGGATATTTGCAGCGGGCCGGGCGCCTCGTGAATGAAATCAAAGCCCGTGCGTGTTTTTAATCTGCTTAGTGGATGCTGATCCTGTGGTACCGCCAAGCAAAGGCCGGGTGGCTTCATTAGGCAGCCTCTTGTTTTAGGGAACGGGGCTCCCGCAGGAGCCCGTGGTGCTGCCGTCTCCGTCACGGCTTGGCGAGCAGGGCAGCTCGGGTGGGTTTAATGCTCGGGGGTTAGAACCAGGGCATGGAGAGCCGAGGGCAGCGGGTTTGGCCCYGCTGGGCACCCAGGGCACTGGAGCAGGTCCAGCGCTGGGTGCCCCGGTGCTGGCGATGCAGGTGTTGGGTACCTGGGTGCCCCGGGCACTTGTCCGGGTGCTCTTCGGGGCGCAGCTACTCTGTGCAGCCAGGGCTGAGCCCCGAGGCCTCGCAGGACCCCCGGCCCCCACGCGACCCCCTCCGCTCTGCGGGACCTCCCGCCTTGCTGGGCGCTTTGTGGASGGTCCGGGCAGGGGATGGCCCCGCGGGGCCCCGTTCAAAGGTGCGGGGCGAGCGGCGGCACCGGGAGCGGGTCCRGGAGCARGACTGAGAGTGGGTCCGGGAGAGTGGCCGAGAGAGGGTCCGGGGCCGGGAACGGCGTCGGGAGGCGGGGCCGGGAACGGGACGGATCCGGGAGCGGGGCCGGGAATGGAGTCGGGAGGAGGGGCCGGGAACGGGACGGATCCGGGAGCGGGGCCGGGAAACGGAGTCGGGAGGCGGGGCCGGGAACGGGACGGATCCAGGAGCGGGGCCAGGAGCGCGGCCAGGAACGGGACGGATCCGGGAACAGAGTCGGGAGCGGAGAGGGCCCGGGGGTCCGGCCCTGCCCGCGCTGAGTGACAGCAGGCGCGGCCCTGCCCAGCCCCGCAGCCCGCCCGGCTTTTCCAATCAGGCCGGCCCGCGGAGGGAGGGATTTCCTGCCGGGACGGGGCGGCCCGAGCGCGACTTTGCAGAGTGCCGCGCTCCGCCGCGCCCGCGCGCGCCGCTCCGCTCCGCTCCGCCGCCAAGTGCTCCGCGCTCCGGCCCGCTCCGCCGCGTGCCCTGCGCTTCGGCGCCCTGCGCTTCGCTTCGCTTCGGTTCGCTTCGCTTCGGCTCGGCGCGGATCGGTTCGGCTCGGCTCGGCGGGGCGGGCTGGAGGCGCCCCGGGAGGTGAGTTGGGCGGCGCGCTCGGGCCGGGGGCGATGGGGCGGGGGGGCCGCCCGGGCGGAGTTGGGGGGCGATGGGGCCGGCCCCGCGTCACCCCCCGCCTGCGCAGAGGCGGCCTCGGCCCCCGGCGAGACCCCCCCCTTGCCGCCCTTCGCGCCCGCCTTCCCTCCTCTTCATCATCTTCGCCCTCCCGGAGGGAACGGGGCTGGTTTTGCCCCCTGCCCCCGGCGCTGGTTCGGAGCCGCCGCTCGGGTGCCGCGGTCCCGCAGGTGGGTTCGGGCCGGGGACAGCGCGGCGGCTGCGGGGGCCGTGCCCCGTGCCCTCCGGCTTTGTGTGGTCTCGCCCGCTGCAGCGCTCTCCTAGGAGGCGGAGAGGTGGCGTTGGGAGCTCCCGGTACCACCGAGTTGTTTCCTGAGGCACCGGGAGTTGTTTCTTGGGAGCACTGCGGGGTGTTCGGCACAAGTTCCCTGTTGAGCCCCCCTGGACTCCCTCGCTGAGGGGCAGGTAGCCCCCCTGCCCTGTGCCCGCTCTGCCCAGGCTCCAAGGGCAGCCCTGATGCTGGGCAAGGCTCTGCATGGCACAAAGGCACCTGGCAGGCAGTGCTGTGCACGAGGACCCAACGCGCCCAATGTTGGCTTGAGCGGAGCAAACGAAACTGGGTCGTGGCAGAGGAGGCGTCCAGGTGCCCTGGGACACGGGGAGGTGACAGGGCAGAGGCTTTGGTGCGTGGCACAGGAGCAGTCTCTCATGGGGGAGCCTGCTGGTGGCAGAGCCTGTCCCCCCGCCCCAGGCGGGGAGGCCACAGGGCGCCTGGACCACCCCAGCTTCCCGAGTCCCCCTGGATGCTTTTCCTCCTCCTGCTGCCGCCTTCCCTCTCCCTGCGCGTTTCCTTCCTCGAAACGATGACCTCAATTGCTCAGAGGAAGCAACGCTGGGTGTTACATAAATGGCTGGGGACGGACGCGAGCGCCTTGGGGAGGGCGATGGCAGGGAAGGGACAGCTGGAGCGATGGCCAGGGAAGCCGGAGCGCTTCTCCTCAGTCACTGCTTCCAACATGGCCCGGATAGACCTGGCTGGAGTTGCGGGTGACAACTTGTTGGACATGTGTCCCCTTCCCTGTCCCTCCCCATGGGGATGTGTGGCTCCAAACCAGGAGGGTTTTCCATGCACTTTGGCCACAGCCGAGGGAGACGAGTGGGTCGCAAGGTGCCGATGGCTGCGGCAGGTCCCTGGCTCCTCTCTCTGGGGTCATGGGAGCCCTTTCTCCGTGCGGGAGCAGGGAGACGAGGCTGTGACCTGGCCGCAGTGTCACTTTGCTGCCGTCTCCATGCAGGGGCGGCAGCGGCTTCGGAGGCTTCCGCTGCAGGTTCTTCCCTCTCCATTCACCGTGCGGCCGAGCCAAGTCCCGCCAGGACTAAATATAGTCAAAGTATTTGTGCTGCGGCGCGGATGCAAAAGCTGTCGCGATGGAGCCTCCCGATGGAGAGCCCCGCTTTGAAGGCTGACTCTGCTCTTGCCCTCCGCAGGTGCCGGGGTCCCTGCACTGCCCCTGCCCGGGGCTCCGCCGCGGCCGGCAGGGCTGTCGCCGAGCGGAATGCCGCGCCAAGGGCGGGAATGAGCCCCGCCGAGAGAGGATCTATAACTTCCAGATGGCCAGGAGCCCGTAATCCCTTTGGGAAGAATTAGGGACTCGTCAGCACAGCACAGCCTGGCGAGGGAAGCAAAACATGACACCTTGGGCCGCGGGAGCGCCGCGCGGCTCGGCCTGAGCGCCCCGATGCCGAGCGCCCCGCGCGCCGAGCCGCCTCGCTGCGTGTCGGGGGGCGCCGGCAGCCGGGCCCCGCGCCGTGGTCTGGTCCTCGTTGTCACTGATCGCGCGTTCCTGCCTGAAGCTCCAGCCACGGATCCCTCTTCCCGGAGCCCAAAGTGCTGCCTTCGTCACTGAGCAACTGGGAGAGACGGCAACTTTTATGTCCTGTGGGATTGCAAAGCATCTTTCTTGCTGGATTTCACCTCCCATCCTACTGTATTTTAAGGAATTACAGGCTGATTCCCATGGCTCTATAGACCACAGGGATCCACGGACGACTTCCTTCTGTGCCGCTGTCTCTCTGATCTGCCCATGATGGGGCGAGAGCAGGAGCTGATTCAGGCCGTGAAAAACGGGGATGTGCCCGGCGTGCAGAAACTGGTGGTCAAGATCAAAGCGTCCAAGAGCAGTAAGTACCGTGCGGGTCCTGCCGCCCGCCCCTGCCCTTTGCTGCCTCTGAGCTCCAGCGCACGGGCTGTGCTGGGCTTGGAGGTGGGAATGTGAACACGGCCCTTGCGGTGAATGACCGAGCTGGGAATGACCCTTCCAGCAGGACTTGGGGTCTCTTTGGGCTCTAGGCTGGGGGGCTGGTGTGTGGGATACCAAGTGGGATGAGAGGAAATCGTCGTGGGGAGAAAGTGGTGCCGCTTGCAGGATGCTGCTGCGCAGGGTCTTTAGCAACTGCCGCTCGCTCCCGAGCCGTGTTTATCTTGCAAAAAGTTATCAGCCGAGCCGGTCGACTGGAACCAATTGCCAAGCCTTGAATTTCAGTCTGGTAATGTTTAACCCCTGAGCAGAGCTGCCCTCTGCCACGTGCTCTCTGGAAGGTCAGCAGCAAGCGTGAGCTGGAATGGATTTGGGGCTTGCTCTGCACCCGGCGTTTTGGCGGCCCGGGGAAGGCTCCTCGTCCCTGGTGGAGGTGGCCGTGGGTGCTCACCGGCTGCCTGGGACCCCGACGAGCAGCGAGGGAGCTGCGGGAGCCAAGGAGGCGCCGGGGGGACCCACGTGCTCCCTTGCAGCACGGAGCAAGCACCATTGCTGCTGGAGCCGGAGGCTGAGGGAGGAACATTAGTCCCGGCCGGGCGGATCCGGGTTCGCCTCCCTGGCACAAGGTGTTTATAAAACCACAGCGGAGGATCCTCCTCCCGTCACTTGGCAGCACCGCAAGCAGCAGGGCCAGGGCGCCCGGGCCTGGTGCTGCTGCAGGGCCCCTGCGTCCGAGCTGCTTCTTGGTGGGGAAAGCAGAGGAGAAAAACATCCCCCAGCAGGGAGAAGGGGAAATCGGGCAGGAAAAGGAGCATTAAGGCTTATTAGGAGCAGCTCAGGGTAGAGAGAAATGCAAGTTTGGCTGGGGATTAGGAATGTGAGCGGAGGATAAACTGCCTTGGTCGATGGCCGGCAAGCCCGGAGGGGCCCAAGCTGCRCGTCGTGGCTGCTGGGTGGCCGCTGCGGTGACGCAGGTGCCCGGAGCGCCGGGCCCTTGGCCGAGCTACGGTGCGGTCGCTCCGCTCGCTGTGCGGGCGCCACTGCCGCTCACGGAGCTGTGTCCCATGCGGGATGCAGCAGCGCTGCTCATTCCCAGGCAGGTGGGTTTGTGTTTGCAGGGGGCCTTGTGGCCCCCCCAGTGAGCCGTGGATCATGGGCAGAGGTTCCCCGAGCTCCTCCCGTCATGGAGCTGGCGCAGGTGCCGTGCGGTGTCCGGCAGCGCCGGGGCTCCCTGCCCCGCGCGGCTCTGCCTCCGTCACCGCGCCGAGCGGAGCGCTGCCTGCCTCGCCGCTCATTAAAGCGCCTTTCCCGTATGACAGGCRGAGATGCTGATTTTTAAAATCCCTCTAAGAGGCCTTCTGCTGTCTCGGTGGATTCGGAGCGGCGGCTCTGTGATTAGCCCTCCGGGACTTCCTGTGCCTAAAAAAGTCACCGCACGTAAGCAAGAATCAAGCGCCAGCCACGGCAGCGGGGACGTTGGGGACGCGGTGCTTAATATTCGCCATGCGCAGCCCTTGGCCGCGCCGTGCAAGTGGGTCAGGRCACCTTTGATGGTGGGGCCGGTCCTGCTGCCCCAGCCAGGGCTGAGGTTTCCCCGGAGCGGCCGTGGAAACGTCCCTCTGCTCAACTCCCTTCTGCGCTCCCACTCGCAGCGGGGGCAGTGCTGGGGAGTCTAATTGAAATTGTTAAACGACCCGTCTGGCGTTGGCCTCCCTCCTCGGTGATCAATCACTGCCCCGGCTGGCAACAAAGCCCCTCACTGGGGCCGGGGCGGCCGCGGGGCACAAAGAGAGCGGCCRCGGGAGGCGAGAGGCAGATTCGGGGCCCTGGGTCCCGGGCAGGGGCGGGATGCAGCGATGCCCCTGCGGGTGCCCGGCGCCCTGCGGGCTGCATGCGGCCCCGTCCTGGCAGCAGCAGCTCCCGCGCAGGCCGAGGGATGCGAAGGGCACACGGGAGGAAAGCGCCCAGCCCTGCTCAAGCCTCGACGCGGGGCCAGCCCCCTGTTTGCCTTCCCTGGGGAGCGGTGGGGCTGTTTGCTCGGAGGCGCCCGGGGCGGGCGGCAGCTGAGCAAACGGGCGCGGGGAGGCCCGGCTGCTCAGCTGGGCTCCGTGGCGGCACCGCCGGGGCTGCCCGGCCCGGCTGCCCTGCCGGGAGGCACAAGGAGGCTGCTGCCCGCCCAGGAACGGGCTCAGGCCCTGACCTCYCCACTCATTCACTGCGAGCAGAGCCCCAGGGAGGCCCTGGCCTCGCTCCGCGCTGGGGCTGGATCCCCGGCACAGCAGCACRGGGAGCAGGGAGGTTTCCTGGAGCTTCCCATCGTGTCCTGTCAAGGAGGGCACRGCCCTCCGGTGCCAGCAGGGCAGGCGGCCCCAGAGCTTGCTGCGCCACGGGGGCCCAGCACGAGGAGCCCACGCGAGGCAGATGTGGGATAATTCGCCTTCCCCTGCTTAAATTTCCTCCTAATCCCTAGTAGCTGTATCAGCTTAAGCCCTGGAGCAGGAGGGAGGAAGATTAAACCGGTATTTGTTACCCTCTGCCACTGTGCTCTGTGTCGCGGTGTCTGCAGAAATCCCTTGCCCTGGGAATCCAGCACGGCCTTTCCCTCCTCTCCCCATGRTCGGAGCCACCCGGCTAGGTGGGAAACGCCGCCTTTTTTCCCTCTGCTCCTGGCTTGGGATTTCTTTTGCCCAAGGCCGAGCTCAGGGCTGAGTTTCTGCGTGTCCCGGACACTGTTGCCCCTCTGCCCGCGCGCTGGAGCTTGGCCTCAGCTGAGCAGGACCCAGAAACCCGCCCGGAGCCTCCAGGCCTCCGTCGTGGGCCGGGCCGGCGCGGGGAGCGGCGGCGGGCGGGAGGGCTCCCGCTCCGCGCGCAGCCCGGCCTGCCGCGACGTGTCTGTGCGCGGCCCGCGGCGCCAGGGCGCCCGCGCCAGCGCCTTCAAAGGCTGCGGCGCCCCGGCCGCCTCCCCGGCACGGYGCACGGCGAAGCCTTCCCTCCTCCTCCTCTTCCTCGCTCGGTGCCACTGCCCTGAAGCCACCGTGGCTTTCTGGAGCCGGCCTCTGCTGGGGCTGGTGCTGGGAAAGGGGCCGTGTTTGGGCTCAGGCCGCCCCCAGCACGGGGCACCGCGCGGCAGGGGGATGAGCCGGGAGCCAACGGTGTCGCGGAGGGGGATGAGTGGTTCATGGGAGCATGGATGCTGTGCCCGGCACCACACACTGCTCCTGATCAGCAGCGGCCTGCGGTTAAGGACAGGAGCAGGGGTTGCCATCGTTTGGGCACCTCGGGGTGTCCCAGCCACACGCTGAGCCCGTCGGARGTGCCGCTCTCCGCTCCTTGTCCCGGGAGCTGCTGGGGGGAACATTCTAGGTGCCCAGCCCAGGAGCGTGGGCTGCTTTGGATGCCAGCAACTGGAAACGCAGCCGGGGAGGGGAAAGCAGGAGCCGGCCTGCTGAGCGCTCGGGAACGGGGACAGGGCCGCGGAGCGGGAAGAGAGGGGGCAAGGACACCAGCAGCATCGGGGACCCGGGGCGCCCTTGGGGACAGCCCCCCCTCGCTCAGCAGGGCCCCTGGAGCCCACAAGTTGCTGTGCTGGGCACCGGTGGCCTTGGGCTGCGCAGCACAGAAGCAGCCTCTTGTTTGGGACCTCGTCGTGCTCCTCTTCCTCGTCGTGCGTCACGACGAGCTGGCTCGGAGGATCTCGGCCATGACCTAGAAAGGCTCCCCGGGGAGCCCTCCTCCACCCTTGGGCACCGGCCTCCCGTCCTGGCCCTGTTCGGGCAYGGGCAGGAGCGATTCCCCCGGGCGCCGCGACCCGCTTGGGCGCCAGCCAAGGCTGCCGGCGGCGGCGGCGCCGCGGGATAGGGAACGTCCCCGCGCCAGGCGGGACACAGTGCGGATCGCGGGCCGAGGACAGCGGCGCCCGAAGGGGCC